AGGTGTCACTTGCGCGACTAACCTTTCCGCTCAAAAAATAGTAGGATAAGTAATTATTATTTCAGTGTTAAATATAATATTATATGGAGACTAATAAATTAGATTTGCCGAGGTACATACGTTTTACGTTTGACCGAAAGTTGTGGGAAATTTCCACTAGAAAATTTACACATAAGGATGGATGTCAAGGAATTTTACACACCAGATTCTGCGTTTTCCAATATTGAAGAAGGTATGTCACAAGTATAGACTCTTTCCAATTATGGAGTGGAAATCCTTTTATTCGTTTCAAATCGTATCGACCGTTTGAATACGAAATTCACAGCGATAACCAGCGAAGGGGTCGTTTAATTTCGTTGAATTCGTTTATACCTCGGGGTCAGAGTGAAGTATTCCAGAAAGGAAACCCGTGAATCAGCTATGTCAAGGGCGTTACAAGATAGTGGCTAATCTTCAGAAGTTTGATTTCTTCATGCGCTGCACCCGATGTCAGGTCTCAAAAAGTAGTGGGCTGATTGATGTGTTATATCAACTTATGCGTCTGATACCGCTACACACAAAGACGGCCTCAAATTACCACAGAATTGCGCACGCTACAATATCATTCCACGACATTGTGGAGATTAGATTGAATAGAATTTGTTGACCGAATTCTGTAGAATTTCAATATTCGTTTTAAGCGACTCATACTAAGGCTTTTTACGATGTCCTCTGCTCTCAACTACCAATCCTGTGTATAATTCAGTGGATCTTTGAGCCCCAGTTCTCGGGCGATGCATAGTGACCTATTTGTTATGTGGAATTTCCATTTTTCAGAGGACTGTTTGCGAGCTGTAAGGCAGCGATCAATTTCCTTTCACTCGTGTGAAGCCGGTACGGGTCACTTGTCTGTAGGGAAGTCTGTGACGAAAATCGGTGCGCACGGGGGTAAAGGATTCATTCCGTGGTGTGGCCAAACATGCCTTCCTGTTAGATGCCCCTGTGGAATGGTTCGGGTTTTTTGCATTTCCAAATAAATTCGCAGACTGAATGTGCCCTTCGCTATCCTGATAGAAAATGCTGGCGATTGATATTGCATTTGCTTATTCACAGTTGAAGTTTTGGTCTTTTCACCGTTCAGCCATCCCTAACTTGACCGGATTGGGCATATCCAAACGATTAATGCACCACAAAATTCATAAGTTTCATTGTATTTTCGTGACACTTGTCTATTGGGGGTATTCGATGCCCTGGATTAGATATGAATTCATTTTGATGCTGGTGTCTTTGGCGTATTTGGCGCCGTTAGGCGTAATTTGGAACGCCACAGCTGTTTTCGACCAAATCTGCTGAGAAAGAATGCTGTATAGCGGATTTAATTTGGAACGTAATTCACACGAATATACATCCAAAGTCTTGACGACCGGGACACTATGTCGGTGTCCAAACATCAGTTCCAAGTCAGAGCGTACTTCTTAGGCACCTTTCTCAGAGCGCGACTGTCAGCGATGGAATATGGTCATGCGTATCGGAGACTTTCCATGAGGAGGGAGCGACCGTGGAAAAAATTTGTAGTAGCAGAGCTTATTTTCACTTTTCTGGAGATGCACTGGTATTTGCGTTGGGGCAGGCAGCGATGACGACTGGTAGCTCTCCTGCTTGCCGCTGAGAGATTGGCCAGTCCGTGGCGCATGTACTACTTCATGATGAGCCACAGTAGAGTTTGACGTCATTTCTGAGTTGAACGTCTTTCTTCGACATTTCCGAAGGAGCACGTACTCCAGTCCCAAAATAGGGCAGTTGCGAACACCGTGGGATTCAGGAAAAGTTACGCAGTTTGTTTCGAAAAGGAATTGTTTTCGGCAACCCATGACGTAGACCACGTGGTCTCGTTCGAATGTTCCGTGCGGAACGCAGTTGGGCACAAATACCCCAAAGACGCAGTTTCATCACATGGTGAAAAAAACAGCCTGGATGGCTGCCAAAATTGGCGCCAACGGCGCCAATGGCGCCAGGCTAAAAACGCGGTGTTTTGTTGTTGTTAATCAGGACCCCAATAACCAAGATGACGAAGTTCGAGCAGATTTGCGTGGAACGCCTTGTGCCGCATTGGACGAGACCAAACGGCGCCATGGGCGCCCAGGCTGAAACCGGAGTCGTTTCGACCAATCAGACCCAAATACCCACATAGAGATAGCTTCAGACAGATATTGGATAAAACAAGCTGTAGGACGCGATTGGGCGCCAAGCGGCGCAAAAATGGGCCAGCGCCAAAAAATGGGACGTAAGTTTTTGGTAACGCAGGACTCAATAAACCGAATGTACGATTTTCAGTTAGATTTTGACGTGGACAGCTGTGGCGCCGAATTGGCGCCACGGCGCAAATGGCGCCAGTGAAAATGGTCTTTTTCTGTTAATCGACCCAATAACCAAAATGACGAGTTTCAGCAGATTTTGGTGGAACAGCTGTGGCGCGAAATTGGCGCCCAAACGGACGCCCAATGGCGCAGCGCCAAAAACTGGACTGCGTCGTTTTTGTAAACAGACCTCATCAATACCGCAATGACGAATTCAGTAGAATTTGGTGAAAACAGCTGTCGGCGCGAATTGGCGCCAACCGGCCGCAAATGGCGCCAGCTTGAAAATGGTTGCTTTTTTGTATCAGTGACACAATAAACTAAAGAGACGAGTTTCAGGCAGATTTCGGTGAAACAGCTGTTGGCGAACCGAATGTGGGGCGCCAAAGGCGCAAATGGTCGGCAAAAATGTCAACCAAGCCATCAAAAAAATGAAATGGTCATATTCGTAATCAAGGGCATCGAATTACCCATAGACAAAGTGTCGACGAAAAATGAAAGCTATATGAGATTAGTGGAAAAAACAGCAGTAATGTAAGTATAGGCACATTCAGGAAATAGGGGAAGGACTGAAAGGATGAAAAAACAAAGTTTCAAATGGGAGAAGCGTGCTTATCATTCCGATGCATTCTCACAAAGAGAAGAGCTAACGGAAAAGTCAGATCTGCGAGGGTAATTTGAGAAAATAGAAAAAATCCTGAAATTTCCAAAGGGAATGACGAGAAGCATGTTTGGAAGGCACACCGGAAGAGGAACGCTTCACATTGCGACACCGAGTCTTTTCCACATCAATCCATACAGACACACGTGACCTAGCGGGACGACAAGTGAAGGAAATTCTTCGCTTCACATTTAAACAGCTTTCATACAAAAAACAATTCTCTAAAATGAAGGATTGTAGTTAATAGGGGGAAAAGCATAACAAGGCAGGTGATGATTTAGGGAGGATCAGCACACGGAAAAAACGCGATCACCTAGAGACCAAAGGTTTCCATATGATCTTTACAGACAAGTGACTGTAGTCTACGACAGTGAAGGAAATTGTTCGCTATCTTCGCAGCTTTCTGCAAAACATGTCCTCTGAAAATGGAAAATGTCACATACATAATAGGCCCACTATGCCTGCCGAGAACTGATCAAAGATTCCACTTGATATACAGAGGATGGAATATTGAGAGCAGAGGGAACACGTAAAGCTAATAGGCACTTGAAAACGAAATGAAGATCTCAGAATTCGGAAAATAACATTCATCTAATCTTACAATTTAGTGGATGAGATTGAGTACGTGGCGCATTCTGGGGTAAGTTTTGAGGCCCTTCTTTGTGTGTAGCGGTTAGAGCGCATAAGCGGAATTATATACACATCACATGCGAGCAACTACTTTTTGAGATAGAACCCGTGTGCATGGCGCATTCCGAAATCAAGTTTTCTGAAAATATAACAACACCATCTTGTAGCGCTTGAAGAACTGAGTTCAACGGTGTTTTCCATTTCTGGAATACTTCACTCTGACCCGACTTATAACGAATTCACGAAATTAACGAGGATTCGCGTTATTCGCGTGAATTTTCGATTTCAAACGGGGAGTACTGTATAGCGCCTAGAAGAGGAATCCTCCCCGGGAATTTCTTGCATCATTTCCCAACATGAATATGTCGGCTGTGATCACTAGAGACAACGCACACAGTTTCTTGTACGAAGGTTCGGTTTCCGAAGAAAAACAAACTCACAAAAACCACACTCTACGGAGGATCGAAGGTGTTATATAATAGATGGCGCGGAGCCAAAGGCGGCGCGTGGAAATTGGGTCCTTCAGCGGCTATGTATCAGACGACGCAATGAATGAATCGGGTTAAAGCATTCGATTTTCGAGAGTAGAGACAAAACGATCGATACAGTATGATGCAGTAGAAGTGCGAGATGTCAGTGAAATAAGTCAAGAGGTCAAAAAGAGTTCCCAGTGACGGAACTCCGTTAACCGAGTGGAAGCGCTGCCTTCTTCTTTTTCTTCTTCTTCATGGAAGTGTTCCCACTGCCAGCATTTGTGACAGATGTCTGGCGGGAATTTGAAAGGATGCAGTGTTTCCGGTTTTCCGACTTGTTCACCGGAAATGCAATTTTTTTTCGTTTTAGCAAAAAGGGTCTCAAGCCAGTGACTCATAGGTGAGATGGAATCATAATTTTTCCAGTAAGGAGTCTTTTAACAACATAACTAGGTAGAACTTCACCTTGCAGAGTTGGGCTACAGCAACGACATGTGGTGCCCACCCGAATGGTCCGCACGGTTTTTCAAGGTGTACTTCAAAGAAACAAAATAGAAAAAATGTCAAAATCTGGCAAGTCAGTCTATGCTTTAGTCAGAAAGAGAGGTACCCAGAAGCCACGACACTGCCTCGACTCAATGTGTAAAGACGCTAAGGCCGTGCCTTTTCAGGTGCCACCGCCATTATAATCGTGGCGCACGTGGTGCCTGCGCAGGACGTGCCTCGTGTTTTCCCCCTCCACGCTGCGCTGTGTCTCTCCGTCATATCACGATCTCGCAAGGGGATCTTCTTCAAAGGGGGATTTCGGTGTTTGGAGCTCTACAGAGTAGTAGGAGCCACCTAATTTCCGTTAGCGATTGCCACCCTCTCATCTAATCACTGCCGTTATGCGAGAAAGACTCACACTGAATTAAACGCACAGGCTACCGCATACATTGCCGGAGTCGTACCTGTTGCATCGCATTTCTGATAAGCGCAGCCGACCTTGGTTGACTTGTAATAAATCATCTGGAAAAAGTAATACTTAATGAGCAATGTGATGAACACAATTCTCAGCAAAACTAGGAAAAGGGTGGGCAATGCGCCTCTCTTAAACGGATTTCCATCTGTTTAGTGAGGTTTTTGTCAAGGAAGCTCACACTACAATGTAAGCGCGGTGCCTTTGAAAGCGAAGGTTCCGCTCTAGCTTAGATTGCAGTGTGAGCTTCGAGTGGCTACCACATCATTATGATCCTGATACCCGACTAAATGCGTAACCTAGCATGAGTTCAAATATTGGGTCGGAGCATAATATCGTAGCGCTCTCACTCGGCAAAAACGTTTAAAGCATCACACAAAAGCAAAGCCAAGCATAAAACTGAATAGTGATGTTCTTTTCGTAATTATTTACGACTTTGGTTCCATTTCGCAAGAAATTACCGGGTTTAGAAATCAATAAACGGCAGTGAGCCCGTTTTTAGAATCCTCATTATTCTCAATTTGTTCCACGCGAATATGATTTGAAATTAAGGGTCGACTGGAGTGAGGTTCGATGATAAAGATGGATCTCGAAAAACTCTTACTTTTTCAACTTTTTTCTCTATATGGATTTTTGCCCACCTGATTTTTCAACTTCTAAGCGCCATATCTGAGTACCCTTACAGTGTAGAAGAAAAAGCCAAACCTGGTATTGTAGAGCAGAAGAAGTACTTTCAAATGATATATGTGATTCCCTGGGTAATACTTGTATTCACTGAACTCGTAGCTCGAAAAGAAAAACGTTACGATATTAAGCTCCACGAATGATAATTCTTTTCGGTAGTTAGGATAGCTGTTAATGTAGGTCACAGATGTCTCTCGGCCCTAGCTCAATAACGAGCGCCGTTTTGAGTACATTTCGACATCTTCTTTCGTTTTTTTCTCCAGTGTCCTTCACCTATTCAGAAATTCCTTCATTAATAATGAGACAATATTTTCCGTACCCTGTAAAGTATTAGGTTGCAGGGAAAGTCTTAGAGCCGTTTTCAGAAGTTATGGCATTTTTCCTGCTTAGTGCCTTCCGGTAACTTAGCTTGTGCAATTATAAGGAGCCTATATGTGTGCGAGTTTAGTACTATTATGAGCTATTACCTATAACTTATCGCTTTTCTTCAATATAGAATCTTCACAACAGTCCTGTCGTGACCTTTTACTATTGGGTTGTCCGGAAAGTTTCCGCCGTTTCTGTAGCTCACTTTTGAATGCTTTATTTCTGGGTTACTTTCAAGAAACTGCTAATAATTTATACATCGGTAAAGCGTGTTTCTTGCTCTATCCAACTCTACTGTTCTTTTCAACACTGAATCGCCTTTCCGCTTTTTTTTTAAAGTCTTGAATACAACATACTTAAAGCAACAGTTTAGGAACGGTTTCGCTGGAAAAAACCACCAATAATGAAGTTGTAGATGAAAACCAGACGATTAATGTATAAAAACTAGAAAAAAAAACGTCGGGGAGGGTCTTAGACAGGTACTCTCCCTCTGCCGCTCAGCAGTGGATAAAGACGCACGTTGGACGAGTTGTCTGAACGTGCCCGCTGTCAATGCGCTCCATTTTTCAATCAGCTTTCTCTGTGGAGCACGATTGCCGACGCGTCCAATGACGGCCGGCAAGGGGGCGGGATTGGGGAAATCTCCAAGAACACCCATGTTTGAGAGACTTTCCACCCTGTTTTTGAGTTTCTGAGGTAAGTTCATTTATTATTTCCACTGCATATGTTCTTCACTAGGGCTCTTGTATCCCTCAGTAGTAGTGGCATTGAAATTTTCGGACCCTCCCTGAACTGTTGCTTTGATAGCCTGCCTAGCACTAGTTCCTTGTTTCCCCTCAAATTTGCTCGGAAATGTGCGGAAGCAAAATATGACGTCGCCTAAGCATTTGGTTCGAAGTCTACAAACATACGCTACGCAGTCGTAATCCAAAATGTCTTTCTTGCGATGTTTAGAGCTTCGAAGTAGATTAGTGATATCGGAGACTGATAAAGATCAACTGAGGGTTTTGATCGAACCGGATATACGTGAAGCTGTTATACAAGCTGGTTCTGAATTGGTCGTAACCGGCATAAGATTTCTAAACAAAGCGTTGAGGGCAAAATGCCCGAAGAAGTCGAAAACTGGGTGCTGCCGACTCTTCTCCCCACCGCTGTGCAGCCCCATCTCGCATTTCCAACCGTACACAAGTTGAACTAACTGAGCACCAAAGCTGTGCTGTAAACATTCTACACAATAAACCTATTGCCTATCAACAGTCAACTTTCTAACCATCTGGAATGTATACTGGGAAAGATTGAGCATTGAAACCCAATATAGTGGTGAAACAGCCATCGCCAAGTTTCTAGCTCACAGAACTCCACCACTTCCAATATCCGGATCAACTCAAGACGCTTTATACAAACATAACTGGAAGTTTCTCTCTGGCTGACTGGGAGTTTCTCTCTGGCGATTCGAGTTGTTCAACCCGCAACATCAAATATGTCAGCTTCGCTCCAAACGGGCAGCGGAGGCGGTCGAGGTTTAAACAGGTAACGGTGCACGGCCAACATTGTGCCAACTGCGTCTCGATCATCTTCTTTGCTTTCTCGCCTCCGCGGTTGCTTTCGTTTCGGCGCACGATGTCAAATCATTGTCGGAAGCCCCCTCCAGCGTCCGAAAAGTGAGAACCTTGTTTTCAGTGTATTGATGGGTTCCCTCTCTCGTTGAGGAGAATCTACATCGCATACCTGCTTCCAACAATTCCGGTGAAGTGGGGAGGAGCCATCGTAATAGCTCCGATTTTGGAATGGGCATGTTATACGATCCTGAGTAACAGTTACCAGGAGGACAATGAGAAGCAGCAGGGCAGTGAATGTTCATTGTTCTCTCATTATTTACTCTGGATTACTTGGCTCTCAGCAAGAACACCAGAAGCATTAGATTAATGTTCACAATTTATCCATCTAGCGTCTGTTGTAATCGAAGAAATGATCAAAACTCACGTTTGCGAAGTTCTGCAGTTTCTGATTATTGTACGTGACCTGACTGTCGAGAGCGTACTGATATGCCTCACTCCTCCACATGCCCACTGCTTGGCTTACCAGCAGCTTTTCAGTCGCACCATCAAAGAAAAGACTCCTTAAAAGGAATGCCGAAATCACTCTATGGTTTCACGAAGTTGAAGAGAAACTGAGGAATATGATGCTCACGAGTAATAATTCAGTGTCCCTTGTGGGATAAAACTGGCGCTTGACGGACAACCTATGACATTATACTCAGCAATATATTCAAAGTAGGTGTCAGCTTCCTGAAAATATCGTGGATAAGCATGTTTCAGATTCCCAGTCTTCGAATACCATTAGGTTAATGTCAGATCCTACTGAAAGTGGCACACTTGGGCAGTTTTCTCGAGAATGGGCGATGCAGGCAGTTTTCACTGTCAGTGGGATGTTGGCCCGTCCTGTTCGTTTATGCTCTACAGCGCGTTGCAAAATGATAGGACACACCCCAAAATGTGAGTATCTCGGCGTCCAGTAAAAGCCATCTACCGCAACTAGTCGAATCAGAACCGCCTCTATAAAAACCTATACAAGTGAGTGGCCAGATCATCTGAATAGTTTTCCGTATTTTTAGACAATTTTTTTTAGTTTTGTAGTCGTTACAAAACCATAGGACACCCCTCGGAAGTCTACTTATAGTTGAATTTTTTTATCATTCCAGCAACGATGACAGCGCTTGTTCGGTGTATGATAATTCTATTAGAGTCACGGTTTGAGTTGCTCCCTTGCCCTCCGCGAATGGAAGCCATACTTTCTTTTTTACGCGCCTGATAACTCTACTATGAGCATCGTAGCATTTTTAGAAGCTCAAAACCATTACTTGATGCTCCAAAGGCCATAACATTTTAATTTTTTCGCTTTCTAGCTTTTATGACCTTATTCATTCCAGAACCAGGGGTGAGAATCCAAGTTATCCTTCAGTAGGCCTAAAACCACTCTTAGGAGATTTGCTCAAAATCCATTGCTAGAGCTTTCAGCCTCGCGGTCTTTGCCGATATCGGCTAACCGGCTCAACACGTTAGACGTGTGAGTGCTGAAACGTATACTATTGAAAAGCTGAGTTGGAATGAAATGGTGCCCCGGTAGCGTAACTGGTAACCGTAAGCGCACTTGCCCGGAAAGCGAGAGGTGCGGGTTCTAGTCCCACCTGGGGCGAAAGTTTTGTTCACAACCCAGCATTCTTGTGAAACTCTTAGGAGAAATTTTTCAGCATTAGAGCTGGTCTCATGTATTTGCGTATCACCAAACCTACAACCATTCAAGACTCTTGTGCATCCTTCAAACGGATTGCAGCAAAGCAAATACTACATGCACAGGTGTCCAGTGTCTCGGTCTAGTTGTTTCGCTTCTGACATTGTGTTGTTCTGTTTTCCTGTTACGGTTGTTTCATTTTTTCCCTCTCTCACGCTGTCTTACATAGCGTATTGAATATAAATAAAATAAATAAATCCTTACAACGAATAGAAATAAGAGTGCACCAGGATGAATAGCAGAAGTTCTCTAAAAGGGATAGCTATAACCTTGAAAATGACATCAAACAAAATCCCCTTGTACGGTCAGCCTGTGTCAGCTCTACGGAAGAAAGAGGATAGAAATGAAACCCTATAGCAAAATCACTGGTATGGACAACTAGCGTACGGTCCTGCGAAGCGTGCTGCCATGCCCGTTAGGCGTTCTGACTGAAACCAGAGGTGAGAAATCTGACGAAAACTGGGCCAAAGCTAGGCTTTGTTGAGCAATTTTTCATTCGAAATAATAAGAAATTAGTTCCTTTAACACCGCACTTTTTCGATAATGAGCTGTCTAACTTTGATGGTTTAGATACTGCTGTTCACTTGTAAAGAAATATGGGCCAGTACTCGACTTATTCCTTCAACAAATTTTCCAGATCGTTTCCTAAAGATGTGGTGGTGCGTAACCTCATCCTGAGTTTCAGCCCTGAAGTTTCTCTTCTCTGGTTTCAATCGGAACGCCTAACGAGCATGGCAACACGCTTCGCAGGACCCTATGCTAGTTGTCCATGATTTCAATGATTTTGCAATAGGATTTCATTCCTATCGTCTTTCTTTCGTAGAGCTGACACAGGTTGACCGCACATGGTGGCTTTGTTCGAGTAATCTTCGAAGTTATAGCTAATTCTTCTGAAGAACTTCTGCTATCTGTCCTGATGGTCTTATTTCTATTCGTTGTGAGAATTCGGAGCACCAAGCTATGGTTTTCTTTGAGCTCCTAAAAATGGCTTCAATGCTTGTGGTAGAGCCACCAGGCGCGTATAAAAAGAAAGCCTGGCTTCACTCGCGGAGGGAATGGGAGAAACTCAAACCGTAACTCTAATAGAATTACCATACACCGCACAAGTGCTACCATCGTTGCTGGATGGATAAAAAAATTCAACTGTAAGGAGACTTGCGAGGGGTGTCCTATGATTTTGCAACGATTACAGTGCTAAAAAATTGTCTAAATATACGGAAAACTATTCGGATGACCTGGCTACTTACTATAGGTTTTTATGGAGGCGGATCTGATTCTACCAGTCGCGATAGATGGCTTTTTCTAGAAGCCGAGATATCCATATTTTTGGGGGATGTCCTATGATTTTACAACGCACTGTATGATTATTATGGCGGGGGGAGAGCCAGAGTCGAAGATTGGATTGAGTACGACTTCATGTGTGCCATATTGAGTGAGAATGAGAAGTTCTCGGAAGAAGAGTAGGATTTGGTCGAGATGCAGGAATTTGTGAAGGTGTGGTGTATAGCTAGAATTACCTGCGACAGTGGCGCATCTCGCTCTCAGTAATGCTTCGCCTGCAGCCAACCCACTGTCTTTCATCCTCGGCGGCAACCTTCAGTTGCAACTGTTCTTTCTTTCCTCATCCCTTTTCCTGCCAGCTGTATGCTCCTTTTCGTCTTCTGCCCCATATCTTCGTCAGTTCTAATACTTTCACGTTTTGACGTCCTATATTTTTTCGCTTGATGATGTATTTGTGAGGATTTGTGACGCTTAGGTATTTGGGGGGGGGCAGTTGCCACCATGACGCGCGGCACTTCTGCGCCCTCTTAACGAGAGTAATTTCATGTAACTCAGTTCCTCCTCCATATCAAGTGACTCTCCTCCTCCTCATCCCTTTCCCGAACTGCCTACATTCCTCTGATCTACCGATTGCTCGTTTTGCGCTGAAGAGTGTAGGCGACATTCCCCCCCCCAATTACGATAGTACCGACTTTGTTTGAATTGCTAGAAGAATTGTCAGGTAATTCAGCAATTGAAGATTCCGTATTTCCCTCTTTCTTGCCCTTTCACTGAATGCGAGGCTTTTGAGAGACGGTCTTGAACGAGTACGTTACGGCAAGGGGATATGGGAGGAGCGGAAGTATGCATACTGCATTAGGAGGCTCTCAAAGGACGAATTCACGATAAGAATGTAGGTCAAATGGCGTGGAAATGGCCTAGTTGGGACACAGGCGGTCCTCCTTAGGGTGCTGTCCAACGCGCAACTGGCGCATGGCTCAATCTTGGCGCGGTTGGCCGGTGTACGCCCATCGACCATCTAATCACTCGCCGCAGGTCTATAACGCGGATGCGAGCGTTGCTCCAGCGAATCAGACTTTGCACCAGCGAATCGGCCGATGTAGCAGCGAGTCGAACAATGCACCAGCGACTCAATAGTGGCGGGACCCAATGTTCAAAGGAAGCCCGCCACATTCGAACGGTGTCACGTGACAGGGACCCTTTCCGAAAGTTGCGGGACTTGACGGTGGACACTGCTTGAAAGTGGCGAGCTTCCTTTGAACGTTGGGTCCCGCCAAGTCGCTGGTACATCGTTAGACTCGCTGGTACATCGGCCGATTCGCTGGTGCAAAGCCTGATTCGCTGGCACAACGCTCGAATCCAGCGATTCGCTAGCGAATGGCTAGATTCGCGAACGATGACATCGGCCTATGCGTGGCGAGTGATAAGATAGCAGAGAGGGCGTAGTGTTTGAGAGGGCACAAAAATCATGGCAATCTGGACTCTGAAAACACCATACTGAATGGCATACCAATGCGAACATATTGAGAGTAGAAGGCAACGTTCCTCCAGAAGCTCCCAGCTGTCCCTTCGCTATTTGAGCTCTATAACCGTTCATTAGTTCGACAGCGTAGGTAGTTACATCTGAAATGAATTACATTCTCCTACGCATTAAATGTACATTCGACGATGAGATCATCGGACCAAACCTTGCAAATAGGGTTGCTCTTTTAGCAAATGCATATACGGGGGGTACGGGGGGAAGGGCGAAAAAGTCACAGCGTCAGGCACATGACGTGCACAAACGGAATGTGCTTCAAAAGAAAACGATTTCCTTCGTACGGCATAGTCTTGTGAAGAAAAATGATGGACTTCTCCGTTACGGCATAGTCTTGTGAAGAAAAATGATGGACTTCTCCGTGTTCGCATTTCTTGAAAGGCATACGGTCTCGAACAGATAGTTATTGCCTCTGTGCTAAACTGATTTTGTATGGTAGATCTCCATTCAGCTTGACGTTTCGACAGTTCGACCTTTTTGAGAACCTTAAACGTTTTGAAACGTTCATGATATTACCTATCATGAGTCCGCATTTGACCAACCTCCACGCAGGCTAGTGAACTAGGAAGCGGAAATCCGAATCTATAGGTCACTTATCTCACTTCCACCAGCGCCGATGGCTCGTCCAGCGGTTTACCTCAATGTGTTGTAGTGACAAAAATAAGTTAGACTAACTGGTCGCACACCTCTTATAAGGGATACCTGCAGCGCATAAAGTTATCAGTATCATAGCTCGCAGAAAGGGATGCAGGGCAAAAACTAATATGTCAGTCGTCCGTACGCCATCAAGGTACAATTTCTGGACCGATTGCGTTCTTGAAGGCTTCAAGGCGACTGTGCTTCGGAGTCCTTGACGTGTCTGCACTCTACGCTAACGTCAGCGAAGAGAGAACAAGGCTCTGCAAGCAGCTTTACTTTGGACTACTTCAGCGCAATTGCACATCTAAGAAGAGCAGATGATAATGATCCTCATCATTACATCAAGAGATAACATCAAACACCAGGGACGGTAGCAAAGTACTCTTAACTCGCAATCAGAAGTAACGATCGGTGATTCTAAGCAAAGAATAAAGAATGGAGAGTGCGATCCAGCCCAGATTAAGCAAGGGCTTCCTACTTTAGATTTCAGACGACAAAATATCAGGAAACGAATAAATAAGAAAAAAAAGGTAGCAAAAGTACCTGAAGATTATGGATCGCAGCTGCATTCTTTGATTCCTAACAGGTTGAGCTGGTCAGAGAAGAAAAAAGAGCACGGGATTGAGGAGGCGCAGTCACCACGTCTGACACGTATGACCCTCCAGTGAAAAGTGCTTCGGAGTACTTTTTAGTGAAGGATCAACGTGGCCTCTGCGTCTCTCTAACCCCACAGTATTTTTTTTCTCTGATTAGTTAGGGATTAGGTTTACAAGTTAACTGTCTAACTTCAAGTCAAATTGGTTTTTTTGGTTATGATCTAACTGTAAGTTAAACAAGACTTAATGTGTTGAGAAGCGCTCTGAACCAGTTATCTAAACTGACTTTGTTCTGAGCTAATCTCGACACGTTAAGTCTGAATTAATGAAGGTTTGCTACCGTCCTAGTTAATCAGAAATCGCTCTATTATCAAATCTGTTCAACTGCGTGATCTTCACGTACGGAAACCGTTAGGGACTGTGCACATAGATTTGTGGTTCACCAGCTTTAACCTTTAACATGTGTAAGTGGAGAAATTGGAAGAGGAATAGACGTAAGCACAGAAAGGAAAGCCATGCTGTTCGTGATTTCGACCTCAAATCTGCAATACTAGCTTACGAAAACGGTGTTAAAAACTCTTTGAAGGAATTTATACAAAGTATTATACAAAGTAACGCAATTCTCGCATGAATAACAGAAATAAACTCACCTCCTCCATCACTGCCGATTTCTCTCCCTACATCCCTCTCTCAAAGCTATGCGAATGAGAACGTCGATTGCTGCACAGGCACCCTTTCTTACAGATGCACGACCAGTTAGTCCCACTCATTTTCTCTTCATAAGGCATTGAAAGGAGTGAACGAGCCATATGCGCTGGTGGAGTCGAGGAGAGTTAACCATTGGTTGGATTTCCGCTCCATAGTTCATTAACCTGGGTGGCGCTTGGGCAAATGCAGGTCCGTGTTAGGCGGATAGGTAACATTCGACGCTTCGAAGATCAGGTCTGTGAGAGGAACAAACTGTCTCAACGTCAGTCCAAATAAATATCCACCATACAAAACCTGTCTAGCACAAAAACAATAACTATCAAAAATAGTTTTCAGTATGATGTTTGATAATCAGATAAAACAGCCTTACGCAAAAGGTAACTAATCCATCGTGGGTCAAGAATAGCAACTCAGAAGAATGACCCGTCTCATTCTCTTTCTGCCATACTGACACCGTGTGAAAAAGTGATGGGAGCTCAGGACTTGGATCAAAACGATCGGTACGTCTTGTGAATCGGTGCACTCATGGATCGTGACTGAGCTACCTACCGTCAATCCTTCTTCACTGATATGTCGATATCACCTATTATTTCATGATTGAACCCCATTTATCCATTATTGTATCGCAAATTGGGCCTTTGTCTGCTTTGATTGCAATAAAAAACGAGTGGAAAATGAAAAAATCGTTACATGTTTGGCTACGTTTTTGCCCAATTGGTACTTAAAGTCTCGTGAATATATATGTGCGCTCAAACGCACATAAACGAACATAGCCTGGATCTGATGTTACGGATGCAACTCACGTGATGATGATTTCTAGTACTGAGCGTTCGACAACTTACTTGGATCTTGTGCGTTGCCGAGGTGGAGAAAGAGCAGGACCTAAAAACTATTGGAAATGTTGTTTGCATGTTTTTCACTGATGGAAACCCGGGTGTCCTGAGCGCGTGCTCGCGTTGCGGTCTTCTGCAAGCGAGACGTAATGGTTCCTGTTCAGAGTTTGGCGTTACTGTAGTTGGGAGGGGATGGAGGGCTTCTATGTTAAAGCAAGTCGTTGGCGCCCTTTTCTGCTCTACCACCAATCTAGAGATTTGCCGGTGTATCGTTCAGTGCTTAGCTTACTCGTACCCCACAATTCGATAGATTCGCATGAAATTAGCCTGACCGTTTCCAGCGAAGTTCAGAACAGTGCAGGGTGCTCCGGAGCAAGAATACTCCGCACCGGGCAGCTTCTCTGCGCCCTCAAACCGAGAGGAGGTCCAAAAGCACAGTTACGTTGCGCATCCCAACTTTTCTCGCTCTTCGAGCGGCTCGTACCGCCCCCACTCAATCGGTTGCATTTCTTCTGGCTAAGAGATTGTTCATTCTCTATATATTCGTCGTCATTTTTCGGAATAACTATGACGCAAAATACCGCCTAGCACTGCCTCACACTGAGGCTAATAAGGTCACAACATTTCGCACATCTCATCCAGTTGGGGGACGAACACTGCGGTTTAGAGCGCCTTACACATTCGAAATACGGCAATCATATCTTCTGTTGCAAAACGTCCACAACTACGCTTCAGAAAGAGGAGTAAGGAGTCATGGGTGAATGGGTTTCATTTCCTTCAAAGTTCCTCCTTCCTCATCGACATAGTCGTGGAACCTGCTCATTTGGTGAATATAACTTTTCATCGTCCTGAATAAGAACACGGGCTATAACGGAAACGTGAAGAAACGTTGTTGGAATAAGACGGTTGTATGTCATCTAATCCTTTTGGCATAGCGGGAACCTGGCAGTACGTAAGAATGCGTGAGCCAGTAGGTGGAGGTTGTGTGAGCCACTTAACCTGTGGCAAAAGTTTTGGCCTTAGTATCTGGTGTCTGGCTTTGTGAAGGAGACGTAGAGGAGCAAAAAGATTAGATGTCACAACACTGTAAGACCAATGCCATCGTATCTTTGAAGGGCTCACTGAGTCCAATTGGCATTAGAGCAAGCTGTGCACCGCAATGCCTTCCCTTCCCCTGCCAGATGAGTTCATCGAAAAGCAAAATTGCTGTCGCCATGGTAATCTTTCCATTAATGGAAATTAAGCAGCAAATACTTACCGTGAGAAAAAGCAACATGCTTGAATGGCCTGAATGTGGGCGGGGGTGAGCTTGGCTTTCTTTTAAATGGTTGGCTACGTGCTGCCCAAAGGTTCGGGGCACAGTAGCACCCTTGCCAGTATTTTTCAGTGGTGATAAGCGCTTGTTAGATCAACGATCATAACGTGTTACCGTGGTGCCGCTTTGAGAAAACATCACCTAATGAGCAATTTCGCCCAGTTTATCTAACAAGCTTTCGTTGACACTTTGATTTGCTCAATGCATTGCTCAATTTTTTCACAGTGAAAGGCAGTTATATCACAACATCAGAAGAGGATTTTATTATAAATTAGCCGCCAACTGGAAATGAAGGGAGAGGTGGTTAGTGATGCAAAGATGAAGAAAAACCATGGAAAACGTTTCAAAACCTGCGAAATTAAACCTCAATTCTCCCGCTAACTTCCGCGTTGAAGCCAATCTTATCGGTGTTGACGTCGTTAACGGCTGGAGTTTGAGGGCTGGAGTCCAACAGCGGGGAGAGGTAGTCGGTGGACGTCAGAGCGCCGCCGATACGACCCTGTTAGAATGCCGCCTTCGCTACGAGATTTCAATCGTCCCGCTCTCTATCTCCCTTCCTAGCAGGATACATACTTCCTCTTCTTCAACCTTTGGAATATAGTTAAGAATTGTTTAAAGCAGAGTAACTGCATTCACAATTCAGATTCAGCACACTAGAATGAAATGCATATTTAATCGAAGGTGCATCAGCTGCTTTAACATGAACAATGGGCCGTCCTTTCTGAGCGGAATATTTTTATCACAACGTTGAGGTGAAAAGAGGAGAAAGGTCCTGAACGGTTACAAGGGAAAAGCTCACGATAGCGCAATGCGCATTTCGCAAAGTTTGACCGAAAAAGGAGACGTCAGAGCGTCAGGGAAGTCCACCAACGGTCAGTCAGTTCATTTTGGTACATCTGTGTTGTGGTGAAGAAGCACTGGACGCCGGTAGGAGAGTATGGAACCAAAGCGCACACATCTTCCAAGACGCCAATTCCGCGGCGGAGTCGCGGCAGTGATTTTGAGCGAAGATAAATGTGACGTTTTCCCGATTTCAGGCATATGATATGATATAAGAAGACATGGATACTTATATACATATGAGAAACCGCTTTGCTAAAATGCTCAACAAGTATAACTCTTGCGTTGAAAAAGAGGTACTCTTATCCGGTAATAAGAGTACTTTTTACAAGGTGCTGATGGCCAAACTCAAAACTCAGAGCCATGTCTCTGCCCTCAAATGTGGGGAGGGTAGGATAGCATTACAGACCAGAATAAAGCCGAATTGTTAGCTGACTATTTTGCATCCGTATTCTCTACGCCGTCCGAAGCCCCATTTCTCTGTCCCACTTCTGACTCTACGTCCCTTTTCCCGGTCCTTGGCCAATGTCTATGGTTTCAGGAAGAAGAAATCCTTGACTATATTCGCGAATGAAAAAAAAAAAACCCAAAAAACGGCCAACTTCTAGCTTCCTTACTTCCATGGTTTACCTTTACACTTTCTGAAACGTATGGCAAATGAAATTGTTTAGTCCTTTGAATACACTATAAACTTATCTCTTATTAGAAGTAAAGTGTCTTTGGAAACACTCATATGTCACTCCTATCCTAAAACAGCCTCATGATGTTGTTAGCAACTACAGCCCATTAGTATCACTTCCATCATTTCCAGAATGGCAGAAAAAATATTAAAAAGAAAATTTTGGAGCACTACAACAAACAAACATGGGGTAATTAGTCCTAATCAGCACGGTTTCGTCAAACATAAGTCCACGGTGACACAATTACTTGAAGCTCTCAATGACTGGACCCTAGCACTTGATGCTAAGAAAGAGGTACACATAATCTATTTTGACTTTATGAAAGCATTTGATAAAGTTCCTCATAACAAGCTTTTTGTGAAACATGAGATGGTAGGGATAAACAAATTGCTTTTGAAATGGTTGAGGGAATTCCTCACAAATCGTACATTTCAGGTACGCATCAGCGAGTCATATTCAAGTGAACAGCAAGTTCACAGTGGCGTTCCGCGGGCGGGGTTTTATCGCCGCAACTATTCAATATTTACGCATATGAGCTTAGATCCCTAGTGACTGAAATTGGAGTTGAATGTAAGATACTTGCAGACGATCTTATGATATATAAGGTTATTGAAAATGAAGCCGATTCAATTGTACTACAACAAGCAATCGAAATCGTTAATGAATGGTCGAAGAACTGGGAGCTTCCCTTTTCTGTGGAGAAAGCTAAAGTGCTGTTGTTGTCTTCTGGCACTCAGCCCACTCAGCCCAGTAGCTTCTATCATATCATTGATGGGAGGATCTTAAAAACGGCTGATAAGATTTCTGATCTTGGCTTCATTATTACTCGGAATCTTACCTTTGATGACCATATAAACATGATCACCAATAAGGCATCTAATAAAATTTACAACCTCTTGAAGGGTTTATGCTGCAGGGATTCTGCTATCCTCTTTCGAGCCCACAAAACGTACATCCGTCCTACATTAGAATATGAAACTGTTATTTACACTCCTCACAAGCATTCGCCCATCAGTGCGCTTGAGAAAGTTCAAAATGACTTTACCAGAAAGGTAATGATCAGTCCAGGATTACGACTATCCCAGAATTCCAAACAGTGCCAACCGTAACAAAATTTCAGGTTTGTCCACGCTTGAAAGGAGAAGGAAAAATAACGACATATTTGTCCTTCACAAAATTCTCTGTGGTAAGATATCTGTTGATAAAGGAAGCTCTTTACTGCCGGTGATCATGAACTCGTGGCGGAAATGTGAGGATTTTTATTCCCAGATCAAACACCAGGCTTAGAATAAATTTATTCTGTCATCGTGCTCAGTCTGCATTCAACAAAATCATCAAAAGGGGAGGCTTGCCTAAAAGTTTTGCTCTTTTCGGAAACTAGTTGCCCAACATCTGCCATAGGTCTTTCATTATTTGCTTGCTTACTCTTTTTCTCTGAACTCTCTTATGATGTTCGGATTTGTGTTGCTTTCTCCTTAGTACCTCATTCCTAGGTTTACTTTTATATTCCGACATCCGTTCTGTGTTTTATCAGTTTCTCTAGTAACGATTCTGTTCACGAGTGCTTTGCTGTTTTTGTTTTACCGTGGTTTTCACATGAGTTATAACGCTCATGTAATAAAATCAAATCGAATGAAACCCTGTCGTCTCGTCTTCTCACAAACACCAAGCTCTGGTAGCAGTGTCTTAATGATGTCGGCGGACCAGGCTCGAACCAGCTCACTTTTAACTCCGCTTCCAAAAC